CACATGAGTTAAAAGGAATATAGAGCCTATATACTCGGCTTACCTCAGGAGCACAGACTTTTATCATGAAACGTACTACTCACACTCGAGAACGTACGTGTACCACAGAAATCACCAACGTTCTCTTTGAAGATTGACACCTCTTGCCCTGCGGCAGAGAAGCGTACTTTGCTTTTCAATCACCATAATTAATTCCCCGGAGCCATTTTTATTTAAAAAAAACATAAACGTCATGTTTTTTCATTCTAGTGACAGCTTTTACGCGTGTCAACGTAGGCCCTAACGGGTGTTATTATTTTAAATTATGTGTAACAATACCCGCTCATTCTGTGTTGGTTCTCACCATGGAACGAACATGGTCTTGTTCAAGGGTATTCGGCACATCAGCACGGAACACATTGTGTGCTATACAACCTTCTAATGGTAATATATAGCAACAGACGTACTGAATTAAAATATTACACAGTCCGATTTGTCCCTAGTTACAAGCTGTACTTATTTCATTTTGCACCATTCATAAAATACTTTGGCCTTGAATATTTTTCATTTCCCCCGCTTCTGAGCCAACTTGTCATTAACTTTCTGTAATCTGGCTTTCTTGCACTTAGAAGTCACCGAGTTCTCTTTTAACTAACATGACCTTATTAGCTTTTTGTTGGCGGGCTTTGTAATATTGGAAAAGTCACTGACTCTTAGTTCAGCCAATCGACCTGAACGGACCACATGGTTCATTTGAAATGTGGGGGAGGGCCCCCTAGCACAAAGAAAGTAACAATAGGTTATTACCGAGCTGTGACAGATCGAAACAGGGGGTAATGGAGAAATGTTTCAATGCCGCGTGGAAGTTCTTATTTAGATAAGTACACCTAACAGCATGTTATAAGTACGCGAGTGTTCTGGATGCAAGCCTAGGTAATGATAGAGCTCTGAATTCAACCCTAAAACGAAGCTGACAGATTGCCCTCAAAGTCATTCCAACTGTAAAAGGTGCAAAGGGGTCTACCTATTCGATGAAATGTTCCATTAAATACATGTACGTGCACTGAGAAGCGAAATCTTGAAGCACAACGTAATCAGGACCTTTCTTACCATTAACATTTACTTAAAAATCAGAGATGCTAAGCTTTGTTCAGAGAGAGAGACAACGTCGAGCCATACATCTTTAAGCTACATCTTACATAAAGAGTATCGATCTATGATCGATCGATTTCCTGCAGGACTTGATGTTAAGTCCCATAAAGTTGACATATCGTGAGGGCGTATGTTTGCTCTCTTGAAGCATTATTGGCGACTACGCTGCAAGGCCGCTGTGTTCTGTTGGCCATTGTAGAGTTACATGGCCTTGCACCTTTGCTTTTCACCGAAGTTGAAATATTAAAATATCTCGAAAATTTTGCTGAAATCTAATCTAAAGGGGGCGATAAAGTGAGCTGCATTTTAATGAAATAGCCTCCCCCTCTCTGCTCTTCTCTTCTTCAACACAGATCTACCTTAATATTGTGCTCATTGACAAAATAAATAGAAGAAAAGGAAATAAAAACGCACTTTTGTCCATTTTTATACTACATAAAACCCATGTGAAGCCGTGGATAGGGACTACGCGTCGGTATTACTGGGTATGGACCTGTAGAAGAGGCGATGTTGAAAGTCGACCAACAGAACATAAGTCTTCAGTGGGTTATGTCTGCCCCAACCCCTCCTCCATCCTCTTGTTCAGACCCAGGGATAGGATCTGCTCAGTTCGGCCTGACCTGAGCACTCCTGTTTCATATTTACACGGAGATAACTCACGTTCACCAAAACATCGTAAATTCACCACAGTTGTAAAAATGTCACCCGGTAATATGCCAGTTAGTTGATTATCATCCCTAATGCGAAATTATCATATAGAAAGCCTTTTATACTCTACTCTCAGAGAAAGGGTTTAATATACAGCGTCTGTGTTACCTGTATAAGCGTCTGTAATTTACCTGTGTTGTGTTACGCAATGAGGAGCAGATGATGATACGAATGAGCGAACCTTGAAAATTACCAGAGATAATTTACTCCAGGTTTATCATATATTGGCCCGCCTTTTTTCTTCGTTCAGGTGAGCGGGAAGCGAGGGGATGTGAAGAACACTTCGTTAAGTGGATTGCACGTTGAAAACTACTTGAGGCACCCTGAGTGTCATGCTGATGATATGGGTTAGTTCCCGGTAAACTCTCAAACACAGGGTGAGTGTACTGGATCCGGGTTTAGAACACGCCAGACATGATGGGCATTGATCTACGTTTTTCTCGGATTATTGCATAATATTAAAGTTTCTGCAAAACCTGAAACACTTACAACCAAATATTTCAGATGAAAAAAAAATTGGTGTGACGTCTTTAGAGCAATAAATTAGTATTACGCTAAATTTCAAAGAAAACCCCCGAAGACCGTTCCATGCATACTTTACGCATCCCTGGTTTGTTAAAATCAGGACTCAGCATCCGTACATACTTTTAATTGGCTTCTATGTTTAACTTGCACTTTTTGCAGTAACCGAGTTCTCGCGGTTTCAGTGGCAACGTCGGGGAACATATAGACGCTCCTCCCATGCGTGAAACGCCACAGCGCGTTTTGAGTTAACCGTGTACAAAGTCACTGAAAGGCCGCGAACAAAGTGTCCCATAAATATACTACGTAAAATATGAGCATTTTGAGAGTAGTACTTAACCTTGCTAGGGATCATTTATTTTATTGACTAGGTGGCACTCGTATTTCGCTTTTCATGTCGGGTGTTTTATTATACGATCCCAGACTCGAGTTCTTTTATAAGTTTTATCAAAAGCAAATACAACGCATTCCTGATCACCAACCGTAAGTATGGCTTCGAGAGGCCGACAGAATAAATAAAAAATGGTTTCTTTATGTAAAAGAAGTGTTGCCGTCTGCATGATGCAGAGGGTTCAGCATAAACAAACACTATTAACGTGTTTTTGAAACATGTGGCACAAGGCTATGCGTTTGCGTGTTTTTATATATGAGAGAGAGAGAGAGAGAGAGAGAGAGAGGCTGTCTACATTAAAAAAAAACATATAATCACGTAAGAAATGTCCTTTTTAAGTCAGTAACAGAAAACATTTCCCGTGCTTTTGCGTGTTTTTATATGAGAGAGAGAGAGAGAGAGAGAGAGAGAGTGTCTACATAAAAACCATATAATCACGTAAGAAATGTCCTTTTTAAGTCTCAGTAACAGAAAACATTCCCCGCACCCTCTAAGCGTGTTTAGAACGTTCCTAACACGGCGCCACAAGGGCATTAGTAATAGCATCATATACATCGTAATGCATCTCAAATTTGTTGATTCCTTTATATACCAATGTTTTCACTGTTATCCTAACACTGTAAGCAAGGCAAAGGTGGAAGAGGATTACCATTGCACCGGGATTAACCGTGACCCAATACCTGAACAGGTGGTCAAGCCAGCGTCTGTGTCCAGCAGTCTTATCAGACAACCATTATAGTTCACTGGTGGTCAATTACAATGTGTATCTTGATATCAAAAGCGAAGGCAAACCTTAAGATAATGGATCGTTCATTTACACCTACTGCTTAGAATGCAATAACGTAATAATAACGTGAACTGATGACATAAGGGCGAACCGGGAAGGGGGGCTGGGGGGGGCTGGGGCGTTTTTATTCTGTTTTATTCAATGTGAAATCTCAGAACAACTTTATGAATATTTGTCAACCAATGGTTGGAATCTGTATCATTTGACCTCTGGTTTAAAAGCCATGACCACCGCTTATGGTCAGTGTTGATTTCAACCGATATCCACCCTGCACCCTAAAGTTCGGACCACACTAAAACGAAATAATATTTACTCTCTGATACAATGCAGCAATAGACCGTAGATTGTAACACGATGCAGTAAGGGTGTGATTCCCAAGGTGTCTCCTCTCCAAATTTCCCATTACATACGTAGCTACTGATGTGAGAAAAATACAGTACTCATTCTTGGCCAAAATGCAGTGAGTTTCAGTCAAGACCATAGGTGGTACTACGAGGAAGGGCATATTCTGATAGATTACTATTATTCCAGACAGACCCGAGGTCGATTTAAAGAAAAGTATCACGCTGTTTTGGCACCTGCGGAGTGTGTGTGTTGTTCTATGCGGCGCATCTCGACCGGCTCTCAGACTAAGTGTGGTCATTTATCATATACTTTAAAACACCTGAGCTCTGCGTCCGTGAGTCTGACTGTTGTATCGTGATACTCCATTACTTATAGCTACCTACTGCATATTGTGTAAATAAGTACCTGGGCCGTCACTATATTATACAATGACATCTGTCCATCGTGTTGAGAAAGTGGAAAGTGCGGGTCAGGTAACTAATTATCAAGCTCCCGAGGACTATACTAGAACATCGTGATATACACCAATTTGAAAGTGGGCTAATACACGAAAGCTGACAATATAACGTGTGTTCTACAGGCTTACTTAATCTGTGGTTAGTCAGCGAATTTTTGTAACATATTCAACTTTCTCCTCCACCTAAAAAACACCGGTCCTGCCAAGACCGCGTCGTGATTGAACCCATTTTTCACTCGACTTGATATACATCATAATAGCTTGTCAGGACAGTGGGCTTCACCATGTCTTGTATGTAGTCCGTTAACCTCTACAAATTTGGAATTTAACAAAGTAATCATCATGAGCTTGGCTGTCTCGTGAAATTATACTTTTAATGCGTCCCCAGTCGGCGTCATCTGCTTTAAGTTGTCTCACCTGCTCGTACTATGTCAGGTACTCTACGAAGCATAAGGTGAGAGCCCCGCAGGCTTTAACTGTTAAGTCCCCTTGTTGTGGCTTAACACTGGTTCGTAGTACTATATATCACGACCTCTCTATCTCTTAGGTCTCACACGGGTAAACGTACATGTTCAACGCTGTCAAGCAATTCACAGGGTTATACGTATGCATGTAAACAGCAAACATTACCGCTCGCTGCATAAGGCAAAGTGACTTACCCTTTGTTAACTCCACTAAACAGCACAGGGTTATGACACCTAGAACTCCCTCGAGTATTCCACTGGGTTTCATCGCTCTTTAGGACGCGTAATTCCACGTTAAATCCTTCCTTGTCTCTCCATGATATGTACGACCCCGACTCCCGTCCGTGATTAACTGAGATCCATGTTAAGAGCGGCGTTAAGTGTCTTCGCGTCGCAGAGCCGTCTTCACGCGGGCAGCCATGTTGACTGACTGACTGCTTGGCGTGTTAGCGTGTGTGTGACAGATCTCAAAGATTATTTAGTCAAGCGTAGGTCCATTGACTGACTGTGTCGCTAGCGCATGCGGCCGACAGGGCTTCTCTATTATCGTTTGAGTGCGTAAACAGTTCTTTATGGGGTGTTGACTTAAAGAGAAAGACAGCGTGCTTTTCTGGCTGGGAAGTGCGGAAACTTTTGTTAGATTTTTAAGAAACTGTTGTTGATAATTGGTCGGATGTTGCATTTTAAAGTACGCGTTGTGAGCTCGCGGCACGTTGTGGGGTCCGCAGGAGTTTGGATCCAATATCTAGTATCCGATACCTAGCTTTCACTCATTATTACTTGTGAGAGTCATTATAAAAAAGACAGGGGATTCATGGGTAGATTTTTAAAAAGTTCACCTTGGAGTTTTTTTTGTTATTTTCCACCATGGACAAAATTTATCTCGCATAAATTTAACGGATATTTTGATGCCACTCTAGAATTTAACTTAAAGAATATAATTGTATGTAACATGTATGAATAGTTTTCAAATGTCCTCAGCTAAATTTTCATAAATGACTGAAAAGGATTGGAAAAGGGAAAATAAAATGGTTTAGCGAGAAAGAGGTTGGTATGACCAAACGCAACTATAACTCGATTAATACAATTAAAGGATGTCTTTTCGGTAATGTTATTACGCTGTATTCTCACGTTCATGGACAATAATTCAATAATTTGTAAGAACGTAAGAAAAAACTGCACACGATTAAAAAAAACCATTTAACTTAGTTGAAAGCGCTGTATCAGTCATACCGCTTGAAAGGGATTGTGTCAGATAAGCAGCTTGCATCACAATCGCAATTTGAAAATTGCGAAGACTCCGAAGGAGACTGTGCAAGCTACATAGGATTTGATTGTGTTACATTTAGGTGCGGATCCGGGGTTTTGCTGAGGGGAGGGGGTACAACGAAAACAATTATGTAAATAAAAATGTAGTATTTTATGAGGAGCTCAGGGATGTAAAATTTCTTGGCCTTTTTCTCAGTTTTGCTTGTTCTTATCCCTTAAGAAAAAAAATTATAGGATCCTATACGATCCTATAGGAATTGACAAAATTTCCTATAGAATCTAGTTTACATTTTCATGTCGTTCTCGTTACCTTTTTTCTAATACAATAAACATGTTAGCTTGATAAAAGTGTAACAAGAGACTTGCTTGTTTGTTATGGTCACCAACGTGGAGGTTTATCGGTTTGTATGGATTAATGAATACCTTGAATTGTCCTGCAGTGGTTTCCAAACACTGTATGTCTAAAAGAGGTGTATAAGTCAAGTTGATGCAACTCCAATAGACTCAACAGACGATGCATTCGAGCTGTTTAAAACCAGAAATACCTTAATATTATTTTTCAGTTTTGCCACTAAGTAGATCTTAGACCCATTTTATGGAAAATGATACAGTTCTAAGCATTTTTCGTTTCACTAGGGTACCTGCCTTTGAAACCATTAACGTTTTTTTTTCATTATTGCATCTCTTCCATTATTTTTTAAATTTCTCAACTGTGACAGTGTTTAGCAGGTAATACCATTGTGTTTTTTTTTTATTTTTTTTTTAAATTTCACACCTACTGCAATAACTCGGATCTAACTGCAATAACTCGGATTTCTTCAAACTTCCCGGATGTCATAAATATATATTCTCTAGAGATATTTCTTTGGGAGATAATAAAACAAAGGATCAGTTTTGATCAGTAAGGGTCTACCAAGGTCCAATATTGAACAAAATGCATAAAAAGACTTAAGATAAGTTAAAATGGCTTTATTTAGCTTTTTTCGCATAGGCTTACGTAGTATCATTGCAATTTACAGTACATGTACAACGCTATACTAGAGCGTCCAGTGTTTTTATTTATGAATTTTGGTAAATTATGAATTTTTCGAATTTCTTAAACCATTAGTTCTAATTTTTATTTTCATTGAACTTAACTTTCCATTTTCAGCAGCATAAAAGCAGAGTATTGTAAGTATTCTGGGCAAAACCCACCAAGGTGAAACAGATCGATATAAAGTTTATGTACTAAACTCGAAAGTCTTTATTTATTGTTACGACTAATTATTCTATATTATTTTCATTTTATATATAAGCAGTGTTACAAATATAAGATCTCTTGACAAAAATGAAGGCACCGTAAAAAAGTAATAATTAGAAATATTTGTCGCAGAGTATTTTGTTTCATATGCCAAAATACATTTTCTGTGGAACAAACTGCAAAAATATATATTATTCTCAGAAGCAAAATATACAGTATATAAAAACTCACCGAAAGCGTAAAAAATACATACATACATAATTTGAGACATTGAGCAAAAGTAAAATTAAGGAATAACAGTTCATTCTTTTTCTATGTGTAACTTTGTGACTAGATAACACACTTTTGTTGCGTTCTTCAAAAGATATGGAATATAACTAATTAGGCCAAGAAACGCCGGCTGCATCATCCTGTAGGTGAACAAATTATCCCTCTCATTGTGGATTTCTTTGAAGATGAAGTCATTGGAATATTCCTTGTTCAGTTTTGCATACAGACGATCGATTTTGTCTTTGATTTGAGGCTCACGAAGTCTCGTAATGCTTTCGCAAAATTCACAAGTTCTTTCATAGACATTCTTATCTCCCATTGCTTTTAATTCACTTAGTCGTGTCCAGAATTCATAAAATTCTTCCAGTTTTTCGTGTGATGTAAGCCGCCATCTTTTTTTGCTTAATAACAATCTGCACATTTCAAGAACCTTGATGAAGTCATTCATGGTATATATGTCTCTCGGGACTAGATCCGGAACTGCCAGCTGAAAAATAATGATAATGGAATCACAGCCGTGTTATTGCAGGGGAGGTTCCAGGATTATTTGAAGGGAGGGTACGCGGATGCGAAGCCAACCATTCTCCCCCCCCCTCCCCGGGCCTGGTATAAGGCCCCAAAAAATTTGGCATTTAAAGGGGCGAACGGTGCAATTTGGTAAGTTTTAGAACTATGATTCAGCTAGCCAAAATGCGAATTTCAAGAGGGGACCATTGGTGTTATTTTTTCAGAAATCGAAGGGGGAGTCAGCCCCCCCCCGATACCCCCCCCCTAAATCCGCCACTGAATTGATGCACCAGTAAGATAATAAACATTTTATTATACACCAGTAAGATAATAAACATTTTATTTTAGCATAACATTTCAGCGTAAAATCATATTCAGCTTTTCTATTGAGAGAGAGAGAGAGAGAGAGAGAGAGAGAGAGAGAGAGAAGATGATGTAAGTAAAATAAAAATGGGAAAAAATAGGAAAAAGAAAGAAAGGCTACATACCTGTACAGTCTGTAAGGCCACACAAAAGGCCTTGTTATTTGCGCTGAACCACTCAATAAACTGCGTCCGCAAAGCGTTGTACTTCTTCAGATGTGCCAGAGCATCTTTTTTCACTTGATCTAGCTCTATAAGCTTTATATCAAACTGCGTCAGTTGCTGCTGCTGGGCGTGGCGTCTCATCAGGGGAGTTGGGACTGGGGTCCAATATGGCGTGTTACGAGGAGTCGTCACTGACGACATCTGGGAAATCTGAAGTTTCGATAAAAATGGCAGATTAATGGACGAAAAGATGAGACAATTAACATGAGTAACTCTGTTTGTATGTTGTTTCCCATAAATGGCAATGAAATCATACTTGTAATGCGTCCCTGGAAGGCGTCGTCTGCTTTACCAAGCGAAATTATCATTGTTTAATTAAATAAGATCTAGGTGTTGATCAAATGGAAACTGTCACTCTAAAAAGTATAAAGTGCAAATAAAAAAAATTCACGGATGTAAATCCTGACTCCGTTTCTAGGAACTCAAACAGAAGGATGTAATGGAAGAAAGAGTAAACATGGCGTATCGACCTGTACCATTTGACAGAGAACAAGGAGAGTTTTGTGCTATTTACTTTCTCTAATCGATTTCACTTGTAGCTCCCCGAGAAATGGTGCGCACTGACGTTATTTACAATAGATGTGTGAGTTTGCCACTGTGGCTTCATTGTTGGCAAATATGTATTTTACCTGATTAAACTATAAGGAACTTAAAATCATAAAATAGATCCTTTGAATTTTTTTAAATAATGGTCTAAACGAGAATGCATATCCAAACAAATATTTTCATGTAGGCTAATATTAAATCTTCAGCGTGCTGTTTTGTACATTTTGATTTAGTCTCTTCTGCTTTTATTCTTTTGTGTGTGTAATGGAAAAGTATCACCTCTTTCTTTCCCTCTCTCCCCTCGCCACACACACACACACACACACACACACACACACACACACTTATCTTCGCAGTTTTACAAATAACGGCACACACACACATACACACACACACACACACACACACACACACACACACAAACCCACGCTCATGCACTCACACACATACCTAGATCACCACAAACTCCTTAGTTAATACAATCGTATCTCAGGTCGTACATTGGCTGTGTTTACATTGTTAGATTAAGCCATCTTGAACCGTCAATATCGCGTCAATCAGTAACAGGCAGTCAATAATTTGACCAAATAATCTTACTCCGTGATCATCTGATCACAACAGAAAAAAAATGTCAACCATACAAGTGATACAACCATTTTACTGTGGACCTTTCCTCAGTGTATTTAACAAGGAAGTAAACAGTTAACTTTAAAATATGTTATTCAGTTGGCATGGAAATGTAACTGATTTCCATTGCTCAATTTACTTTATTTATTCAAACTGTATCCCCATGTGTAACGTTTTTGTTCTTTAAGTATATATACACTCGGCCCTTTTTTCAGAACATTAATTTCCATATATGCAGAGCGCTAGGCAGAGATTGATCGTTCTGGGTTGAACTCTTGACTTCAATATCATGTAGCAACCACGACACTATTAACTTTTGTGCCAGATCAAAGTTCTGACGACCCAGTAATTACCTGCAAAAGCCCGCTAAGGTATAATTCTAAATGACGTTTTTTATACCCGTACATAACTAGGACGTTTTTCAATTATTTCCTTTTGTTAAAGCCAAATTTAAAGAGAGAAAAAACTAACTGTAATCCAACACCAAGACAGAGGGCCTGTGTACGACTACTACGAGTATATACTGTTATTACACAGTGAATTTTTTCATCGAGTTTTTTTTCTTTGAGGTATTTTCAATTTTCTTAACATTGGGGAATATAAGCAAAAATATTTACGAGCTTAGTGTAGATATAGTCCAAGAATTATTTCGTGTACACAACCCAAAACATGTATGAAGTTCACATTTTAGGTAACCGCCAACCTGGACGCAGGCCTTCATCAAATTGAGTGGAAGCCTCTCAGATATAAAATGTCTCAGACGAAGGCAGGACATCTGAAACAATGCTCTGACCGCTGTGTCACCTGGCGTTCAATAGGTGACATTTACTTTATTTTATGAAGACCATCCTGGTTGGTTGTAAGCCTACGTAAGATTCATAAATATTTTGCTTGTATACAAATAACGATAATTGGACATTGGACAAGTTATTAACCCGTCAAACCTGATGAGTCGTGATTTGTAAAACTGCGAAGATGTGTGTGTGTGTGTGTGTGTGTGTGTGTGTGTGTGTGTGTTATAAAACTAACAAAAAGCAGGCGTTATTGCGTTTACAGAAGCCAAAAGTAGCTTTGCGTTTCTTTTTAGGCTATCAACTGTTATAGTGCAATAATGATCAATATGCCTATCTAGGTTTTGTGCTTGCTTGCTGAAATTCATAGCCGCTTTTATCATTTTGTCCATTCAAGAGAAATATGTCGATTTTTTCTTTATGGTCGTGCTTTGTAAAAACTACAACACCGTGGTATGATATTTATGTGCGTGTTGTATGGTTTCAATCAAGACATTTACGTCAAACGGTATTTCAGCCTCTGAGCTTTGTGAATCGGCATTGGTTTACTTACTCACAAGGGAAATATATGTTACAGTTGTGAGGGCATTTATTATCAACCCTTTCAAGCTGGGATAGACCCGCTCCAGGCTGCCTATTTATTTTGTCTCTAAAATATCATGACGTGAAGCTAAAGCAGGGAAAAGTCTCTATAATTTTTTTCATCCAAACGTATGTCCCGCCTGATAGAAAATGAAATAGTAGAGATTCGCGTTCAGAAAAGTAAATATTGGCTAGAAATGTGATTATAAAAAAGATAAAGGAAGGCGGTCAACAAAGGAACCTCAAAGGATTGTTGTAAGGGGGAAAGGGGTGTCCTGAGCTTGGGGGTTATTAAGTCAAATTATTTCTTTTCCTAAAGGTTACAATTTTTCATATAATCCTGAAAGGCACGTGTGTTTCTTGTCATACGTATTGTTAGCTAATATAACACTAAATCATTAATCAACGATACAACCGCAAACATGATTTTAGTTACACACACACACACACATGTAAGTATAAACTTAAATTCTGTACATTATGAACATGTTCGTACACCAAAGGGCGCCAAGAATTTAACAAATCTCTGTACGCGTTTTCTGTGTTCGTTTTTTAAAAGTCGATTTGCTTTAAGAAAACGTGCGCTTTAATCGACCTTTACCCCGGGCTACCAGGTCTCTACATTCTTGTCAAGATATTGCTTTAAAGAAGTTTTTTCGTGAAAGTACACGCCCACTGAGTGTGCCACATCAGAATATTAAAAATGTTACTTTTAAGGACACCAAGCGTTCGGCTTACCGTAGACCTCGGGGAAAGCAAAGATTCGTCCATCTCGGTTTCCTTCCTGAACTGGATGGGAGAATTCTCTAACCCTCTGTAACCGACTTCTCGCCCCTTTACCGTCTAGATCAAACTTGTTGAAAGACTAGGTAAACTGAGCGAACTTAAATAATCAGGCGCCGTCTCTTGGAAGAGCTAGGGACCACGGATTGCCGATTTAATTAACCTCCAGGCTCCATGGCTCAGAGCTCCGACATCAGCACGACCCGCTAGCAAGACGACAGAAACAACTCACTGTGTGCAGTTTTACGTGACGTCAACGACGGGTAAACACGGTTAGGCGTACACTGTGGTTACCGGTATGTTTTAGTGGTCCACACTTTCTAAAACCATTTGTAAACTTGAATAACTAACACTTTGACAGCATCAACTATAATAGACTTCTCCTTCAATTTTGTTTTAATATTATAGCAACCGTCTTCTATGATATTACGTCACTGTTTTCCTGCTATCAGTATTGCTAGGTTAAGCCTCTATATATTTTCCTAAAACACAAGTGAGTCACACTTGAGATATGGCTTATGCAATAATATAGTTTGACACAAACTGTTGCAGCTTTCAGTCATGCAGAGCAAGTTCCACGAAAACTCCCTTGCTTGCCTTCGGTTGACCACTCCGATTTCCCCACGAAAACAACGCCCGGTGTGCGGTTAGCTACGCTCGACACAGTGCTCGTAACACATATATATATCTCCTCCGTGTTTACCAACGCATTTGAGTCCCTTACTCTCCACATAGAAACATGATTAGAACCGAGTTGACATAGTTGACATCGTTAAACACACACACCAATACAAAAGGGGTACAAACTGTTTGGCCAGGCTCTATCATTTACCTTTTTATTAATCACAACATTAAGCAATGGGTGATTAAATGAGGCGTGCTATGGGGTGGTTTGAGGTGTACTTGATAGCTGGAGTTAAAGCGACATGTTTGTGCAGTATTTGTGTGTGGATTAGGGGACTACCGTGACACGGGGGTGATCAATGGCATAGCGACGAGGTGCAAAAGTGTAACGCGACATAAAGCAGATCTATGGACTCGTGAAACGTTCCGTTTATTGACAATTAAATTAATTGTGTACTTTAGGTCTCTTTGTGACGTGAAAAGATATTAATCTACAAGTGTCAATAATATCTATTTTAAAAGGACGTTTTGCATTTACCTAGTAGCATGTACTTTTCATTTGGTGAATTTACCGTGTGAAAAGTTCAGACATGGACGACGTGATTAATAGTTCAGTCCACCGATTGCATAAATGCAAGAGAACCAGGCAAAAGAAACATTTACCTGTGATATAAAATACACTATTTCACACTTGAAACGTTTAAAATAACTTCGGCTGCTTTGTATAATCGCGGTCACGTCCAAAGGTATTCCCTTGCAATATCTGTAAGGTTACCTATCAAAGGGCTTTTAAGATATAGACGACTAAATTAAATGTCCAGTACGCCCGTTACATAAATACATGCCTGCTTGAAAAAATATAAATATTTGTCTACATAAAAACTCATGTGTAGTGACATTAGTTACAAATCTTCTGGATCTTGCCTAAATGCACAATTCTACTGTAGAGGTTATATGCAGTTTGGTTGCCTTGAATTTTACTTATGATTGCGCGGTCCATATTTGTGCTCTTGCAAGCACTTGCATCTGAACGGTCAACTAATATATGAGGCATAAACAAAGAGAACAACGCCAAGAAGAAAAAAATTCTTATAATATTTTAGTCGAACTATGAAAGAAGAGAGTTCACTTCACACCTGTGAAAATGAAGAGATGGTTTAGACTGACCTACTAAAACATTGTGTAGTGTAAGTTAGAAAAGTGGAAATTATATCGACCAATGCCGGTATAAAGAAACTCAAGTTTCATGTGAAGGAGTACGGCTCTCCTTAAGATTCAGACAGGGTTGGGTAAGTGTGACGCAAGTAAGTCAAAATCTAAGACCGAGGCTTACCCGTACAAATGGTACCCGAAACCTGCATCCCAAAGGACTTGTTAGTACTAGTTTGTCGTGTTTTCTAGTAGAGCACAGTGAGAGAACACCACAGTCACATCTATGATGGAAACAATCTGCTTGTACCGTATAACGTGGACTCATAATTGGACCTAATGAGATGCGATCAGAAACGAAAAGTTCCGTGAGCTGTATCAGCCAAAATCCTCATTACACCCAACATTACGAGATAAAGGAATTTAAGATTTTAAAAATAAATAAATAAATAAATAAATAAAAAACCCAAATCTGAACCCTTACCGAAAACGATCAACGAAAGAAGGCGAGGAATGCAGCCTTAGAAAACTGGGAAGCTGGGCACAACTAACACAATCAACACACTTACGGCTCTCTCTCTCACACTCTACCTCTCAGTTGAAAGACGGGTAGCCCTACCAACTAGGGTGAAGAATGGGTGGAATGTACTTAAAACATGGATGTCATTGTAAAACTTACCTCAGATATTGTTTTATATCTGGCACCAAGCATTTAAAATTGCTTGTGTTTTACCCAAAGTTTCAATCAAACATTATTAGGTTCGAGAAAAAATGGACCCTATAACTGCAATATCAAAACAAAAAGTATGCCTGTTTTCGACATCGATCAATAAAAGTGTACACTTAATTTCTTGTTGAAACAGTTGTCGAGTGTAAAATATTCGCTCGAGGTGTTGCCTTTATCGCCATTAATATTAGAATAGAGAAGTTGGAAGAGAGAAATTCATCAACACATTGAACAAAACAAAGTGCACTGGAAGTCGCTTACGGCACTTACGGAAACTGAAAATAGGAGATGATGTTTTAATGCAGTAATGTCTACATAATATTTTTTATTCTCGGCTGCTTTCAGATCCCTTATTTGTTTCCAGGAAAATGAAAATAAACTGTGTAAAAGATACCGTTCTAAGTGTATATCGGAGTCATACATGGACAACCATTACCCAAGCTTGTGCCTGTAAGAAAACACAAAAAAGGTAGACTAAGCAATGCTATTTGTTGGCACATTTCACATGGTTATCTAGAAAATCTTTCCCGTGCTAGGAAAGTCAAATATTTATTCATTGCTGTTATAGCACTCAGGAAGTTAATGTTAAGTGTGAACCTTTCTAACCGATGAGTTGTGAAAAACTGTTCATGTTTTTTTTTATATTTTACTTCCTGTAAATGTTCCCTGTTGAAGAAAAATAAGATTTACTGTTATTAATTTCTTGTTTAAACGCCTAGAATTTTGTGAGTTATTTTTCCTATATACTAAAAAAACTATATTCTGTCCCTTGAATATCAGCAATTCAACTTTTTTGTAAAAAAATATACAGTATATAGAAAACGCACACACACACACACACGCCCTCGGAAAAACACACGATTACGTATCTACATGTACCCGTATATTCGTGTATTTATTGATGAATATACTGTATATAACAAATGCATAAACAAACCAGAGCAAACACTGTTCAAAGCTTAAGGAAACATGATGTTTAGCATCACTCCAGTAACACCTATATTATAAAGTTAACCAAGTTGAACGGTTTCGCGTTTAACCTTGTAAAGATGTTCTTTACGCCTGACTCCTTCAGTATGACTGAAGCGTAATTAACCCACGCTTGAGCTGTAAAACTCATTTGGCAGAGACGAGGTGCTCGCTCATACGGCTAGACGGGAATTCCCTCATATTTTTGCCTTACGTGCAGGTACAGGTATATCCAGTAACCGACCGTCCCACACCCATTCTTCATTGCATGTGCACCGACTGCGCATCCGGCACTTATGCCAGAATCAAAACCATCGCAGAAAGCGATGTTTAAGTGTACCTGAGAAAGAGATTGGAATGATTAACCTATGATTGCTTAATGTATTGAGGTTAAAACCTCTTTTAAAGGCGTTGCGGCATCGGCACATACATTGGGCTAGATAATGGAGGAAAAGACGTAGATTTTTCAATGACATGTAGTTGCATTTACAGAAAAAAGTAACAACAACAACAGCAGCAACAACAGCAACAACAACAATTTAACAGCAATAAAAACAGTCTACATGTCGCTAATGTCTCCTTGCAGAAATTTTTCCTTGCACATACACGTATCCAAAGAGCCTAAATAAGATGTCTTCAAGACCCGCTGACAAAGGACACGTGTCGCCCTTACCTATATGTAGTACATCTCATATCGACGGGTTGTTTGATTACGATAAGTACGCTACTGTCATTGTTGTAACTCGCGTGCTGCTAGATTCAGGGCATATTTAATCAAAGAACGTACGTCTAAATGTTGGTTTAAACTTTAAAACCAAAATTGTTTTTTACTGTGACCCCAAGTAAATAAATAATAGTCCGATTAAACAGAATACTGCGCTTATTATACAACGAGAAAGATGTGGCTCAGTTTTAGACCGATGGTCATTCTTTTTAAGGGGACTTTTGCACATTTATACTGAATTGAAATATGCCAAATTTCTTTCGGTCTGATTGTATGCAGCGAGAGTATCAGTGGAGTAAGTGGCCGGTAGCTAGGTCGATGAATTCATTGTGAACGGACCCTTTAATTTATTTGCGAAACAAGCACCTGCCTACTATGGTGAGGTAATCGTAATCAGGCATTTGGCAGAGAGAGGTCTTACTACGTCAGATCGAAACTGGAAAAGGGCTTTTTACGCCCACGACGGAACAGTACATTGACCTTTCAAAACAAATTACCGTCGTACGTCTTTATATTTAGATTATTAGTATTTTGTTTTACTCGCAAGTAGTCTTGATTTGGATAATATAAAATATTTTCATTGACAGTTATTGAATTATACGTTTTTACCAGATACGCTTCTATCATTAAAATAGAACAACAAACCAAACGTCACATCTTTTGATGTGTTAGCAACAAATTGTATCGGACTCAAATTGTGTCTGCGCATCAGTTTCCGTTACAATATGTTTACACTTTTCTATAGAGTTAAGTTGCTCAGTCGGTTGCACCTTTTTCCTCATTTTCAGAATTAAAAGGTAATATTCATAAATTGACGGATAAAGTGCAAGTGAAAATCTGACCGACTGACCAACTATAAACTCTAGCAAACTGATGTAAGAAATTGCAAAGAGGACTGGCACGTAGGCAATTTTGAGTCAGTCCAGACGGGAGGGCAATAGTTGACGTCTACTACCAGTCATCAAATGATCCATCAAAACAGATACCCGTACTATCTTCTCCATCTAGGCACGTGTGATATCTAGATGAACTGGAGAATGCAATGTAACCGGTCATCTAGAAGCTCCCTGGAGAGAAAACTTGCCGCAGTCGGAACACCTTTGCGGGAAATAGGTATCAAAAAACGTGTCCTGAAACCCGGTTCAGATTGTTT